AATTTAACATGTTAAAACCACATTCGTGTGTGAATTTTAAGCAAGTACATTTACTTAGTAATATCTGCATAATTGCTTGTTAACTTACAAGAACCTATTTTGTAAGAGTAAATATTAATTTAATAAACTCTTTTGTTTGTTTTTTAATTTAATTTACCTAATTATCACATTTCAGGGATTATAATGAGTTTTTAAACAGCCAATGTAATTTTTGATAAAAATTTAACTTTTCGAGCAAATCGAAGAGGAATGAGTACCTATATATGCATAGATTTTTTTGGGACTAAAACTACCAAAACAAAGGCACCTATTTACAGCAGTTTAAAATGAAACATTTTAACAAAAACGCCTATGTCACAGTGATAAATATTAAAAACCAAGTTCAGTTGAATGTGGTAGCAAAGTCTATATATTCCAATAAATCGGGTAACTACATGTGGTATCACTGGTGATAAATTTAAAAATATCACAATGCTTGCCACCTTTTTCAAAAAACCAGAAAGTGTGCCTTCTTATGAAAATGACAACAGTGATAAATGTGAAAAAAAAATTTCATGTTGCTATTCGTTATTACGATAGTAAAACATGTTTGCAGTTCCGTTTATTTTTTATGAAAATCTAAGTAAAAACAACCAATGTCAAAGGGTTTTAATTTTTTTTCTGTCAAACCAAATATATCACAAAATTAAAAATTGATCATAGGTCAAGCTAAAGTAATACCTTTATTAATAGTGGCTTTAAAAAAGGAGAAAGAATAATATTGACTTAAGTTATTATTATTAACATTGGTGATTTTTAATAAAAACTTCAATTATTGTTTACAAACAAAAATATAAAAATCTGAAAATTTTATTTATTAACCTTTTAATAAAAAATGAGAAAAATGAAGTAAAAAAACAATTTATTTACAAATAAAAAATATATACAAATCCTAAGAATATAAAAGTACTGATTTATTTTCCTGTAGTGGATGAAGAGGTTTCTTTAACAATCTAGCCAAGTGTACATCATTATCAATAACACTGAGTAGATGTTACAGATGGTTCCTCACTTCTTCTATGAAGCCACATGTTTACAACCTCCTGAAAAAAATAAAAGGGTTAGATATGCAGTTACAAAATAACTATACAACCAGCTACAAAATGCCTTATTTTATGTAACAAGACGAGCACTTTACTAGCTCTAAACGAATCCAGTAAAGAACCTCTGATTTTCAAAACTTAAAAAAAACAAGCTCACCACATTTTCACATTTTTGAAATATTATAGAGCTTTTCGAAAAAAACTGCTATTTTTAAAAGTACCATTTTTGTTTAAACAGCTATGTCTCATTTTAGGCTATTGAGTATTATAAAATAAAAAATTACGGGATGCTTTGTTAGCTTCAAACGAATCCAGCAGAGCACCCCAGTTTTTTTTTAAACCACACCACATTTTTTGGCTCCTACAATATTATAAAATATTCGAAATTTGACATTTTTAAAAAAAATTCGCAATTCCTTGCTGACTTCAAAGTTTTTTTTCTGAAAACAAATATACTTACCACATTTTTAGGATTTTAAAACAGCCTAAACATGTGTCATAAGTAGTTGTTTTTATATATTAAAAAACTGAAATGTCCTGCTGACTTTGTTCCAACAAAGCACCCTGTATTATTTAAAAATAGCAATTTTTTTAGTAAAGTTTTACAATATTTCAAGAGTCTAAAAATGGGGTGTGGTTTTTAGAAAAAAGCTTTAAAAAACCGAATTGCTCTGCTGGCTTCTTTCGAAGGTTAGCAAGCACCATGTATTTTTTAAAAATATAATATTTCAAGTGCATAAATATATGGTGTTGCTGTTTTTACAGAAAAAACTTTATAAAACAGAGGTGCTTTGCTGACTTCGTTCGAAGCTATCAGAGCATTTTAAGTTTTGCATAAAACGAGGAGCATAAAATTTTTGAAAAGGGTATAAAAATAGCCTAAAAATATGGCATGTTTTAACTCAAAATTTCATAGGTGCTCTGCAGCATTCTTTGGTATCATAATTATTACTAGGTTCACTAACAAAATCTATTTCTAGATTATTTTAACACTTGCTGCGATTACAAAAAATGTCTCTTTATATATCAAAATTAGAAAAAAAATATTTATAAGAATAAAGGGCCTTATACACTGTTTATTATATGTGATATAAAAACAAAAAAGCATAATAAATATTACAAACCTTGAGATTCAACATATCCTAAGCATTGTGCACTAAAAAACAGCCACATCATAAGGTTTTTGCTGTACTTTATGTTTAGGTGTAATTTGTCTCCTTCTCTCTTATGGAAAAAGTAAATATCTCCATATTCTTGCTTGGCAGATCTAAAAATAAAACCTGAGATAAATATGTTTTACTATAAAGTGTACTGCTTCATATAAGCTGTAACTACCTACCATTAAAACAATTTATAAATAAAGTTTTACCTTTCTATCTTTTGGAAACTGAGTATTGTTAAAAATGCAGTAATCATCTCGGTAATCATATTTTCGTTTACAATGGGAAAAATACTTGATTCAACTTTTATAAATACAGCTGATAAATTCATATTCTTCTTCCTTTATATCCCTATCCTATCCTATATCCCACAGGATAATTTACCCAGATAAATTCAGATTAATAATAAAATTAAACCAAAACAAAAACTAAGGTTAGTTGTTAGGTGCTGTCAATTTTTAAATGTCACTTAGATGTGCGTTCACTTCGACATTCTGTATGTAGGTTTGTTCGTTGGCTTGGTTTTGTAAAACAAAAAAAACTTCGACACAAGCTGATTGGTCTATTCCCGATGACGTATAATTTCAAATTTTAAATTTCAATTGGGCTTAATTTAAAAACTTTTAGCTTTTTTAACGAACTGATTATTTAGAATAACTTGTATAGCGACTAACTATTACAATATAGTTTATAAAACAGCATATCTCACATGTGAACATGGCCCATTGCATGCCGAAGAAACAAGTGGATGAAGGACTTATGTAACATTTTTTTTAAATGGTGTTTTTTGGTGAATGAAGGGAATATGTACCTAAAATTTGTTTAAAATGTCTCCCGTGACAATATATCGTCAAATATAGAAGTTCAACACGAAATATTTGGTTTAATCGCCCAGACTATTTCTATGATCGTCATCATCGTCGAGTATTAGTGTGCCATGACCGAATCGTACCTGTGCAGTACTCTTTCATGTTCACGTTGGTCGGAATCGTATCGTAGATATATCGTATTAGTCGACCGGCTGGAATCTCGGTGGTCTAAGGTGCATTCTTTGCATAGCCAACTGTGGATTCGATATTTAGGTCCCACAGTCGCCAAAGAAGGGCCTCTCAAAGGAACGAAAGGGGCGCCTGCATGTTTTTTCTTGTTTAACTATGTCCAAAGATGAATGGCATTTTTTGAAATTAATTTATGGTTTAAGTTTCGAACGGAGGATTGTATAAACAGAACGGGAAATAGTTTGGATGAGTAAGGATGAAGGATTTACTTGTTAAGGATTGTTTTGTATACTCTCAATCATCATTCGTTTCTTGCAAAGATTTACACCAGTTTACACTAAAAGATAGCACTTAACGAGGCGTTTTAGCCACTAATTTTGGCGAATTTTAAGGATATTTCTCAAAATCTTACCATAACTTTCTCTACAAGAGCTAAAGGTTACTTTATATACCACCACCAACTTATTATTTTGTGAAAGTAGATGTACAATTTATGCTCGTATTCATTGTATATCAATTCAATAATTATTTAGTAAAACTTCTTAGATAGGTATTTGATTTTTACTATTAATTTCATATAAAACTTTCAAAGTACTGTTTTGAACAGTCCATTACAAAATTGAAAATATTTATGTGACACTCTACGATGATAAATCGTAATTAGTAATTATCATAGGAATGAAGTCTAATATGTTTATCCGATAGGAAGTAGGATTTTTAAGACAGAGGCGTCCTGGGAAAAAGTTAAATCAAAATAAACAACGTATTGATCTAAAACAGTGGTCGCCAACCTCTCAATGTGTTGAGCTATTTTGTTAATTTTGGAATAAACAGCGAGCTACCCACACGGAAGCCACGTAACGTAACGTAAATGAAATAATCCACAGTTAATTTATCAATATATGTATTTATTTTACTATTTAACTGGTAATACATAATACATAGGTACTAATAATAAATTAATAACAAAATAACTAATATTACTAGTACGTACTTGTTCATAGCTACATTCCTACCTACCAAACGAAGGTGTTTGAAAAATAAACAGATACTTTTATCCAGCCACAACGGCATGTCACGTAAGATTTAAAAATAGTTAATAATAACAACAAAAAAGTAACGCACTATCATGAACATAAACATTGAAACATAAAAAAGCACGTTCAATGAGAAGGCTGACACTCAGACTTATAGATAATTTTTTTTAATGTTTGCAGTATAATTTGATACAGCCATTCGAATACAATTATCTAAATGTTCATCTGTAAGTCGATTGCGATATTTGTTCTTAATAAACTTCATATTGAAAAAAGAAGATAAATAGGTTGAACTGTATAATGCTTTCACTTTCAAGGCAACACGGCATATAACTGAATATTTGTCTTTACTTACAATAGGCCAGATACATTTGGTACTTGAGACTAACGATTTTAAGGCTAAATCATTTTGAAACTCAATTACTTTACTTCCATTTCTGTCGCCATAGCTCTGCATAACACAAGTTGCAAACTATTGGATATCAATTTCCATAAAGGGTGAAACAACAAACTGCGCTACTAAAGCCATTTCGTTGAAATCCTTAAAACGATTTTTGATGTTATTCGTCAGGGTAGAAACTATTTCTACATGATATTTGCTGTCATAGGGTTCTAATGGCTTTTGAGTTATTTTTTCTGAAAGAATAGGAAAATGCATGGCATCGCTATTTATTAGGTTCTGTTCCCAAAACTGCAGCTTTTTGATAAATGCTTTTATATCAGAAATCATTTCCGCTACTATATGGTCTTAAAGAAGAGGATCCCCAGCAAGATATAGTGAAACTTATAGATATAGTGAAAAACCAACTAAACCTTAACTGCAATTTTAACGACTTTAGAGACACTCGCAGAATTGGCACAATAACTAGCACCAAACCTAGACCACTAATCATTGAATGCGTGAGTTACTATTTAAAAGCTGAGATATTAGGAAAATCTAAAATCTTAAAAGGAAGTAAGTTGTTCTTTGCTTACGATCTAACTCAAACAGACTATCAACGTAAAAAAATACTGGGCCAGAATCTAAAATTAGCTAAGAGTTACAACCTTAAAGCAAACATCGAAAAGAATAGCCTCTATGTAGAAGACAAAGAATACAAATACGAAGATCTTATAAAAATACCAAATGCAATAGAAACATTAACAAACAACAAAAGAAACACTACCTCAGAAGAAAACCAGTCGTCACAATCAGAAACAAAAAAATTAAAGGAAAACTCAGAACCAGAGGTTACAAAACGGGTAACCAGAAATCAAAAAAACTCAACTTCTAATTAAATAAATAGTTATTTTTAAATTTTAAATTAGATAATACTCATTTTATGTGTTTTTTAGCATTACCGGAAGTTTATTTTAACTTTTATTATAGGCACGCCTGTTGTTTTAAATATTGTATTGTAATGTAGAAATTTTATTTTTCAACAAATTTTAATATTTATTAAAATTAATTGAAATGGATGCTTATATTAGGGACTATCAAAATCATCCAATTCAATCAACTGAAATTCAGATCCCAGCAGCTTTTAGAAATTATATTAACATTACAGACTTCAACATTTTTCATATGAATACTCGCAGCGTAGCAAAAAACATGAATGAACTTCTTGTATTATTAGATAACATGCATGCTGAATTTGATTTGATAGTATTATCTGAAACCTGGCAGCTATATGATCATAATATCTACCATATTCAGGGATACGAAAGTATATACAATAATGGAAATCTAAACCAAAATGACGGCGTTTTGGTTTTTGTTAAAAATCATTTGAAATCTAATAAAACTATTGAATATATTGGGGATATTAAAGTAATTTCTATCTTAGTCACAGCAAAAAATAAAAAAATTGAAATTAAATCCCTATACCGATCACCTAGTACTTGTTTAAAAATTTTTAATCAGAATCTAATCAATTATTTAAATTCATTAAAAAAACACGATATAAGCATTGTAACAGGTTACATAAATATAGACTTATTAAACAGCAATGATGAAACAGTAGAAGAATACAAAAATATAATGACCTCTTTTGGATACATTTCATACATTAACGAATACACTCGTTTACCTAGTCGAACATGCTTGGATCATTTTTATGTATATAATCGCAACACGCTTGAAGCTAAATCATATATTTTTAGATATAATATTACAGATCACTGTCCCATAGCCCTTACGTTGGAAATAGAACAAAACAGCATTAAGATAAAACAGCAATTAAAGTACAAATATTACATAAATTATCCATTACTAAAAAATGCTTTAATATTGGAAAAATGGGAACAGGTATACAATGAAACGGAAGTTGATAATATAACTCTAAAATTTATTAATACTCTTAAATATCACATTAATCAAAATACACTAAAAATAAAACAAAAAATAAAAATATTACAAAATTGGATGAATCCTACATTAGAAAAATTAATTGATGAAAAAAATAAATTGTACAAATTAACCTTAAAACATCCCGATAATTTAGAAACAAAAAGGCAATACAACGTGCACAAAAATAATATAAATAAATTAGTTAAAAAAGCAAAAAAGGACTATTATAGAAAAATCATCCAAAAAAATCAAAATTCCTCCAAATATTTGTGGGAGTGCATTAACAAGGTTTGCGGCAAAACGGCACCTTAAAAAACTATTGAAAAAATTAAATTAAATGGAACTGAAATTACTGACAAATTGAATATTGCAAATGAATTTAATACATACTACTGTGAACTAGGCTTAAATTTAGCTGAAAAAATACCAAAAGTAACAAATTATACAGAAAATATAAATTGCTTAGAAAGTACTATGTTCCTTAGCCCTACTGATGAGGTTGAGGTCATTAATACAATTAAAGATTTGAAACTTAAGAAGTCACCAGGCCTCGATTGTATAAGGTCTGAAACATTAAGGGAAATATCTAATGAGATTGCAAGTCCACTAACCTACTTAATAAATAAATGTTTTAGTACAGGCTCTTTTCCGAAAATTCTGAAAAATGGTCTAGTTAAACCACTTTTTAAAAGTGGAAAAAAAACGGAAATGGTTAATTACAGGCCTGTATCACTGGTGTCAAATATTTCGAAAATAATAGAAAAAATAATAAAAATTAGACTATGTTCCTTCTTAAAAAAATATAAAATTTTATCCAATCGGCAGTATGACTTCAGAGAATCTAGGTCGACTGAAGATGCGATATATAAGTTAACTTCTCTTATTTATGATTCGCTTGATAATAATATTCCTGCTGTGTGTATCTTCCTAGATCTCTCTAAAGCATTTGATACCGTTTGCCACAAATCGTTATTAAATAAATTAGAGAAGTATGGTATAAGAGGAAATACCTACAAACTCATTGAAAGTTATTTATCAGATAGGGATCAAATAGTAGAAATCGATGGAGTAATGAGCACACCGCAAACAATTACTTACGGTGTACCTCAAGGAACCGTTCTTGGTCCACTTCTGTTCCTTTTATATATTAATAGTATGCTTTCCTTGAATATTCAGGGTGAGCTCATCAGTTTTGCAGATGACACTGTAGTATTTTATAATTCATCCAACTGGCAAGATCTAAAAAATAAAATAGAAAATGATTTTCCTTTTATTACTAAATGGTTACAATTCAATAAATTAACGCTTAACTCTAGTAAAACAAACTACTTACCTTTTTCATCCTACCTAACTGGATTACCTAACTTGGGGCCACTGAACATCGGGACGACTAACCACATTGTAGAAGCAGAAAAAGTAAAATACCTCGGTATTACAATTGATCGTCATATGAGATGGGATCTACAATGTAAGGAAATAGTAAAAAAAATAAGAGGTCATTTGCCAAAATTTAGGTATTTAAAGGAAATTCTTGAAGTTGAGGAATTAAAAGTCTTGTATTTCTCACTGGTTGAGTCACTGCTTTCTTATGGTATTTTAGGGTGAGGTGGAGTAAATGACTGTTTCTTAAATAGTGTTCATATTGTACAAAAATGGCTTTTAAGAATCATATTCCAAAAAAATATTTTATTTTCCTCAGATCAATTATATCTAGATGCCCAAGTAAAAGATGTACGACAAATTTTCGTTCAAAAAATATTGTTTTTTATATTTCAAAATAAAATAAAATTTGTACATCATGAACACTCTTATAATACTAGGAGATATGAAGGGATCGTTTTCCCACGAAGTGAAAAAACTATCGGGAAAAGAAATACTAACTATTTAGCCCCAAGAATTTACGTGCTGTTATCTAATGACATAAAAAACTAAAAAGTTTTAATTTATATAAAAATCGAATTAAAAAATGGATTATGGGAACAGAGAGACGATTTTTTACCGATATAGTAAATCAAACTCTACAGTGACAAAAGTAGCCATTTCAAGAATATGTGTCTGCAAGATTATGTGTCTGATATTTTAATTTTAATTTTAACTTACCTCTATTTTGCCCTTATACCCCGAATGTGTCTTAAACTGGATTTGACAATATATTTTTTTTTCACTGGGTTTGACAAAAACCCTGTTTGTGTCGCCCAAAAAAGGCAACACAAACTGTATTAAGGTCACAATACAAGTAGTTCTAAAAACTACTTCTGTGGCTTAACTTTGTTTATTCACTCTCTACTTAGTATGTATTATTTTAATGAGGTAGTTACTAAGTCTTTTTAATAATATGTTACTTGTATTTATCCTAACTATTATGTATCTATCTTTATATTTATATTTATTATTTAATTTATGTACTGAATTGAATAAACATTATTATTATTATTATTATTATTATTATTAGTTTTTTGTCTCCCCCCTGAAGCTGCAAATTAAGTTCGTTTAATTTCTCTGTAATGTCCACGAGAAAACCAAAATTTCTAAGCCAGATTGAATTTTCTAGTTCCGGAGTCGGTTCATCGCGTTGTTTGAAAAATTGAATTATGCCAGATAGGACATCATTAAAACGTTTCAGCACCCGTCCTCTACTAACCATCGGACTTCAGAGTGAAGGAGTAGGTCCCCGTATTGACAGTCAACTTCATCGGCCAAGGTTTTGAATAATCTTCTTTGTAACACTTGAGCTCTAATCTTGTTCACAATTTTTACCACCAGTTTCATAACGTTGTTTAGTTTCAGGAAATTTCCACATAATGCTTGCTGATGGATAATGCAGTGATAACAGAGAAATTGCGGAAAAGTTTTATCTTTACGACATAACGCCACCAGACCCTTATCACAACCCACCATAGCTGGAGCGCCATCGGTTGTCAAGCCTACCATTTTCGATATTGAAATTTTCTCGGAAGAAATAATATTTTTTAAATGAGAAAACAACTCCTGTCCAGAAGTGTGTCCTTTTAGTGGAATAAACTTCAAAAGATCTTCTTTAATCGTAAAATCACTAAAAACCATCCTGACTAACACGGACATCTGGGCAGTGTCAACGACATCTGCTGATTCATCCAGTTGAAGTGAAAAATAAACACAGTTATCTAAGTCAGTTCTTAACTGTAAAAAAATATCGTTGCTCTTTACTTCTACACATCTCATCACTGTATTAGCAGAAAGTTGCATAGATTTTATAGCTGAAACTATCTCGTCTTTATTTCTAAAGTTGGCAAATAACGAATCAGCAGCTTCTAAAAACGCCTGTTTTATCATTTCCCCGTCTTCATAAGGTTTCTTTTTTTTTGTGCAATTATCTGGGACACACGGTACTATGCTTCAGTTGCAGCCTTATTTTTGTCGACTGTTCTTAAAAATATTGATTGTTGTCCAATTAACTGTTTTAGTTTCTCCTTTCTGGCGGCAGAATGTAGTGGGAATGATTTTTCAAAATTAGAATGTACAGTTTTATGATGTCTCTCAATATTTCTTTTTTTAGCAACGGAGACCGAAGTATTACATAACAAAGGTGTTTTAGACTTAAAGCGACATACTGTTAGTTGTGTACCAATAGTAACAGGGTTTGAAATAGCATTTTTTGCAAATTTGCTTCTATAGAGGCATTTTTTGCTTTGTCACTTGAAATATATTTCAAAAAAGAACCATTCCAAAATAATACTAAAATCGTTATGCAATTTTTAGTCATAAATTGACACATTTTTGAAACTAAATCATACATACATCTTTAAAATAGTGCTTAACCTTTTCTCATATATTATTTATTCATAATACTTCGTAAATTTTCTCAATGTTCAAATATACTAAGACATTTCCAAATATAAAACAGTTTTTGGCAGATTCTACGAAATTAGCATTTTTTAGTTGTGCCACTTTAGAATTAAAGGTGCGATGT